GAAAAATTGACCCTTTTTAACTTTTGTTTGTTCTCTTGACAGCAATTCACAGGTCTTGTTCAATTTTTTCTTATAGGGAGACTGTTGCTGTTTGGGACATGCTTTGTGCAACAGACTCAGCCTGAGTCTTCATTTTCCAAGTATATTAGGAGTGCAGCAGTAGCAGTGCATTTAGGACTTCTACTGTAGTCTTGCTATAGGGTATGATTCTATGCCTAATGGTATACCTGAACCTGCAAAAGGCCGGGTATTAATATACTTCCACCCCGCAAAAAATGGCTTTGTTAGGATAGCTTATTTCATCTGGGGGACCAGTGTGAGTGATACCAATGGAAGTATTTTTTTTGCACTGTAAGCTTTGTCTCATGCCTGTACCAGCAAAAACTTCCCTGTCTGTAGTCCGCCAGAATAAATAATGGAATGATGTTTGCTTTTCTTGGCAGATCTTGTTACTTTCTGATTAAATAAGGAGGGTTGAAAGACTGATGTTGAATCCCTGGTTGATTTGGCATGGAAGGGCTCTCAACCTACTTGAAGACCACTCTGGTTTGCAATATAAATACTAAAATATGTGAATGTATGTATGTATTTTTTTTTACATGCAACATTAGAAAAGGGTTTCAAGAAACTTTTTGTAAAAAGAGTAGAGTCTCACCAGCTCACTCTGTATAAATGGTGTCTTTTTCTGTTGTCATTGAGTATTTGCACCCTTATGACCTTGTTTAACTAATGAGTGCTTTTTAGCGTAACAAGTATCTAATATATAAAACATCTAACTGTTAGCAAATCCAGGTTCAGGAGAGACAAATTCATAAGTAAAAATCAAAGGACTAAGGTATAATTAGAGGAGCTGCTGTATACAAAGTTATCTGCTTAATTTAATACAAATGAAGCTCATCAATACGTGCTTACAGGGTAGTCCATTCTGGCCAACTGAGCTGTGGAATAAGTAAATAGTTGTTGAGTGAGCAAGGTTGTATTATGAAGGAGCGTGCTATGTTTGCTCATGCTGGCTGTTTTGATGCTTGGCTATTTTAAAATAAGCATAAGGTTGTCTAGGAATGTGCTTTGGGTGGATTAAGGGCTATCAGTTAAAAATCTTCTGCTCTCTTTTCCATTTCCAACTTTTTTCTTTCCTAAGTCTAAATTGGAGTTGCAATGTTGTCTTCAGTCTGCATGCAGATAGCCTGAAGCAAAAAAATGTTGTTTAGATCCTGCTAAATTACTTTCTATAATACCACTATATGTCAATAATTATTCTAATGAATTCTGTGAAATTTAGTGTCAGACAACAGGAATACCCCAGAGGTATCTGATACATATTACATATTATAACTCCTCATGATTCACATGCTCTGAAGGCTAATGGTTGCAAAATAGGCATTTTATTATCAATAAATATTACATTGGTTCTTTGAGGAAACAACATATGGCTGTTCTAGAATTATAGTAGCCCCTATAGTAAAGCATCTTCACTTGCTTATTTTGCTAACCACTAACATTAATTTATTGGGGAGAGATATCCATAATCTTTATTCTAGGGAAATTTATCTGTAGCATAATCTGAATGAGTCAAGGTGAGACCTGAGAAGAAATGCTCAGGTGCCATAGTCATGTATATTGTGTGAGAGCACTCATAGGTGAAGAGAAAAATGTGGTCCTGGCTCTCAGAGAAAGTTTAAGCAGATCCTAGTAAACCAGGATTGATGGCTTATCTATTCATGGAAGAGAAATGATGATACCTTCTAACCTACCAAAGAGAACTTTAAGATTAGATGATCTATATGAGATTTGGACCATTTAAAGTGCTGCTAGTTGCTGCTGGTATTAATTGTTCTAGGATAGTTTTAGAGCAAAGAGTCTTCACTTCTACGCAATTTAGTGTTTTACTGAAGGTTGTGAATGCGTGACTTTTTTTTTTTTTTTTTGAAGTGGCCTCAGAACTTCATTGTACATAAAACACTTGAGAAGCTTTGTATAAAAATTCAATAACAGAAAAACCTTAGTACTTCCCCAGCCTCCTTCCCTTCCCCCCGCCCCCAAAAAAACTCCACCAACTTTCCAGTCACCCTTCTAAGTCAGCAGAAAATGTGTAGTAATTTTTTTTTCAGTTGCCAGGCCTGACAGAGAACTGTTTCTCAGTTAGTTTGGTTTATAAAAATCCATACCCTAAAATCCAGTTGATAGGACCTATATGTACATATTAGCTAGAGGTTACCATCCATGAAGAAAGATCTTAAAATAAAATGTCAAATCCTTGATATGTACTAGGTGTGTTCAGGGAAGAAGTAATAGCTTCTTAGTGATAGTAAGAGGATGGGCACACCGAGAAGATGCTGAGGAAAGCTGCAGTGATTTCAGCGTGGAGTAGCTGATGATTCTGTGTTTTCCTTTGGTGACAAATGTGCCGTGGGTTATGCTATGCGCTAAAAGAGGGAAAGGCTACCTTGAACATACGGTTTAATTCCCATTAACATATAGGTGAGCAGCTGCTGTGGATTGCTAGTGTTGTGTAAGTTCATATCCTGGCTTGTTTTGTGGTAACTTGTTCTTGTTTCCGTGCATTAAAGGCTTATCACTTCAGAGCTGTTGGTTGGTGGAGCATGTGGGGAGAGCTGTCAAGGGTGAGACAAATGAGAAATTCCACGTGTACGTTCTTAGTCATTTATAAAGTATTGAATAGCAAGTTTAAGTTTGCTTTAAACAAAGGCAAACAAACGCTAACAGTTTTCAAGCATGAAGAAGCTGTATCTATTGATAGAGCTTTCACTCCTTTTCTTGATCTTGAAGCTGACTTCTAGAAATCTTTCTCTATTTTCCTGAAGGGAACACAGAAATAGCTTAGAAGTAGAACAGTGGGCAAGGGGCATAGATTTTACATCTTGCGCAGGGAATGTGTTGTTTCACTTTGTGTTGTACCCTTCTTGGAGCAACTACATTAACCTGATTTCCTTCCTGCTCACCTACCTGTTGGTTTCTTCTGCCTCTTCTTTCCCTCCAGAAATGTTGCAACCGTACTTCATAGTGGATAAGGGGTGACAAAGATATTAAGTTCCTCTAAATTTTGTGAAAATTTTTGTCTGGGGAAAAGAGAACTCCGCAAACTATTGTCTCCAGTAAGGAAAAGACGACAGTGCGGTCTCACCTGTAACTTATCTTTTTTGGCTTCTCAGATGCTTGGTCAGCATGCTAGTAACTCTCAATCTGTGGCACATACTGCTTGTTATACAGTCTCTAGCTGGTGAATATGGGAGGGATCTGCAAGATGGGTAGGGGTTTCATAGGTAGGTAAAGGGACCTGGGAACAGGATGAAGAGAAGTGTCCTGCATCCCTGCACCAGTAAAACCAAGGCCTGCCACGCACATTTGTAAGACTTTGTTCACTCCACTGCTAGAAAGCTGTTTTTACTTGAACGAGCAGGAACGGGGATTTTTTCATCTGTTTAAATTGTCAGACCTTCCCGTGAGTTTGTATATGGCTTGTGGTTTTGTCTTCTGTGGTTTTATTTCACTTTTTTTTTTTATCCCCTTGAGAGTACTGAAACTTTGTGGCTTCCACCACTTAGAACAAAATTAGTAGTTTATTTCAGAAATTTGAGATTTGTTTGTTATTAAGCATCTATTAAAGTTCTGACTGCAGTCTCTTCTCAGCTGCTGCTAACAGCAGAGCTGAGATTTCGGCTAAGTGATTTCTAGGCTCGAGGGTTGTTCAGTTTCACTTTCTAGATAATATAGTCAGTAGGATGTTGCCAGTTCCCAGCCCTGTGAAGGGCAGAGTCCTGTGTTTAGAGCTTCTAGCCTAGGAAGTAAAACTGCAGTCTGTATCCCAGATTTCCTATATAATCTTAAGCAAGCCAGTTAACCTGTCTGTGCCTGAGTTCTGCACCTCTAACTTGGGGCCAGCTTGGGAAAAGAGCTGTGTCTGAATCCTGAAGCTAGTGATCCCAGTTTTACCTGGTTTAAACAAGAGAACATGCTCAAACCCTTTGTCCAGTTATGATTAAACCTGCTGAAAATAACAACCGTATTCTAATGTAGCTTTCTTCTATATACAAGTAATAAATAATGAAGAGATAAAGAAATGTTGGAAGAAGGTGTAGAATAATGTCTACAGTCATCTAGTTTTATTCTTGCCATATGCATCTTAAGGTCTGCACAGTGTTCCTTTCTGGCAGTCCGCTTGTTTCTGTAGCGCTCGGAGGTGTGTTCGGTTGCTTTAGAACAATAACATTTAGATGACCTTGAAGGCCGAACGGTCCACGTGGGTCACACCGAAAGAACAATGGAACTGGGGAAGGCATGGCAATGAAGGCATGTCCCTAAGGGAGTGTTTTTAAAAAAAAAAAAAAAGTTGGAAAAGGGCACACGAAAATATACAATAAAGCGGAAGCTTAACTGGTAACAAGTTGATTGTTTTAATTATTGATTCACTAATATGAAACAATGGATGTCCAGAGCCCTCAGTTTGATCTCTTGCTCCACAGCGGCATTCTTGTCTGATCTTGGGCAAATCATACAGTCTTTTCATATTTCTGTTGTGGAATCTAAAGAAAAAAAACTCTTGTCGGACTGTTGTTTGAAGAAAACGTTAAACCATTTAAGATGCTCAGCTACTCCGGAGATAAGAATGTGTAATGGTATTGTATTAACTGTGCTTTCTAGCATTGATCTGTAACCTGAGCCAGTGTGGGTTTAAAATGGTGACCCTAAGCCAGTAAATTCACCTTGTAATTTTTGAACTCAATCAATAAGACTGTTTAACTCTCCATTGATCAAAAATTGATTGTTTTGGGAGCCACCATCTTTTTCAGACACTTTTCAATTACTTCACTTCTAAAAGGATATTCCAGTTCATCCATAAGCTATTAATGAAGTTTATGACCCATATTATTTAAGAAGTCTGTCTACATAGCCAGAAGAACTATAAAATGAGTGAAACAGAGCTAATTTGGGTAATGGGTATGCTGCAATATTAATGCTTTTTTTTTTTTTTTTAATAGCTATTGGCGAATATGAAGAGCTTAGAGCAGAAAATAAGAAAACGAAAGCGGAGGTTTGTATTTAATGACTATTTTTTTAATACCTAAAATGCTAACTATCCAAATACCTTATTGGTTACAGGAGTTTGTTTGTTTTTAAAAGCTCAAAGTTGTTTACGTATAAGGCCATCACTCATAATACATATAGGTGCAAATGGTACTTAAGGAGCAATAAATGTAACTTCCAGCAGCTATTCTAGCTATCGTACTCTAAGAAGTTAGTGTAGTCTGTACACAATCGTGTGCAACGTGCTCTAGGTGACCCTGCGTGAGCAGGGGGGTTGGACTAGATGACCACCAGAGGTCCCTTCCAACCTCAACCACTCTGTGATTCTGTGAAATGTGTGCATATTTTTAAGTGACTGCAGCTGCAGCCGGTTTGCAGATGGTTACAGTGTCAGCATGGACTAACTCAGGTATTTAGATCCCTCTCCCCTCTCCCCTCTCCCCTCTCCCCGAACTTAAATATATGGAACAGAAGCTGTAAGTATGCTAAAGCTGACAGTGTTTATCCCAGACATTGCTCAGAAGGAAAGGTGTGTGCAGTTGGAAAGATGTCTTATCTCAACTTGCAACTGTAGCAAAAAACATATTCTCAAAGCATCACATATCCTTTTGCGAAAACGCAGAAGGAGTCTGTCCAACCTGAAAAGAGACTTTGAATGTATGGACATAACTTCATACATTACTGTAGGCTTCATTTCAGGATGTCTGTAGATACTGGAGTAAGAAATACTGACCATTTTCTAGATTGCCCGGTATAATTACGATAAGCAATCTTTGTAGTAGTGAAATTAAGCGTATTCAGTAATGCACCTCTTCTTCCCCCTGCTAGCCCCCCAGGGACTCCCATTCGCCTTGTGAGACGAAGGCAAGAACAGAGAACTCTGTGCTGGGAGAGATTTTTGTGGCAGCGTTGTGTCGCGTAAATCCCCATCAATGCACAAAAGGTTTTTAGCAGATACCTGCCAAAAGAAACTGTGGGCAGCACAAGCCTCTTATCGGTCCTAGATACTAAGGAAGGCGGTGGGGCAGTGCTGTTCTGTATTGTAAACAAAGGAAATTCCCCTTTCTCCAGTATCAGTGGGCTGAAGTTGCAGGGTACGTGTTGGTTTCCCAGTCCCTATTAGCTGCCAAGGAATGTGGGTTTAGTTTTGCTTTTTGTGAAGGGCCAACTTTAGTCTAGCTGTTTTATATGTTGCAATTTAAGGCTCTAATGGGAAGACTTTGTCCTTGATTGCTTTCTCGTTATTAAAGAAAACTTGAAGCTTATCTTCACATTAAATTTTAGCAATGATTATGCATATTTCAACTGAGCTGAGCATACTCTACTTCACTCCCTCCTGCCTGCTGACCTTGTCTTTTTTTACAGTGCTTGTTTTTGCATTATTGTGGTATGCTCTTGTTTTGCTGCCCTACACCAGAGCCTCAGATATTCTAGGAAACCAGTTCTACTTTTACAGTAGGAAGACTGTGGCAGTTCATTTTCTAGTGCTCAGAAAAAAAGGAGATTCAAACTGAGTTAAATCAAGAGTCCATCTAGCCCAGTATCCTATCTCTGACAGCCGCCAGCAGCAGAGACGAGAGCGTAAGACCGCATATATTACATCCCCTGAGTACTCTTCTAGTCTCCAACCTTTTTGTAGCCCAGGGACTTCCTGAACTGTATGTGGTTTCTGTATGTTTTACTCTCAGTAGATTTTTTTTTCCTTGAATTTGACCAGTCTCCCCTTGAGCCTGTATTGATTATTAGTTTCCATCACGTGAAAGGAGTTCAGCAGCTGGACCGCCCTTGCGTGGAGAATGAGTTCCCTGTCTTTGCCCTGAACCCAAGTCCTGTGAGCTTTGGTGTTTCTTCAGCAAAGCTTTGTTTATGTGGGGGAGATTTGAGGGAAGGTTTTCTTGAACTGAATTTTACTTAGAACATGCCTTTCTTCAAAAGCAATTAGAATGAGAAATTTTGTTTCCAAAAATCAAGAAGTGAATTGTTCTGAGCTCATATCTTACATTCTTGGGTTTTTTTTTTTTTTTTGCTGCTCTTTCACAAGACTTGTATTCTGTAGCTCTGCATATTTGTAGTCACCTTTCTGTGAGTTTCTTCTGAAGATCAATGTGGTACTTTTTAAAAAATACTTGAATAACAATTGAGACTCCTCCAACACTGGGCATGTGCTTAGCTAATTTGCCTTACCGGGGATGCAAGAACCTCCATCCTGCAGATTGGTGTGCTTATGTAAACATTTCTGTTTAATTGTGTAAGTGCTTGGACTCAAGTGGTTAAGTGCGAGGCCCTAAGTGCATTTCTTCCACAAAGCAACGTACTGATATACAGTTCATAGTTACGTTTACTTACAGTGCCAGTATCAAAGAACTTTTTCCTCATATTACTGTATGGCTTTGTAATCCTGAAAGCTCCTTAGCATCTGTGTGCCTTTGTGTCTTTGTTAATGCTTTGCAGGATCAAACGTGGGTAAATGTTGGAGGAAGTATGGCACAGGGTACCTGTGCCTGTAGATCTTGAAGTTGCAGGTGAACTTCTGGTCCCATTTCCACCACTTTCTGTCAGTATGAGTATAAGCAAATTTTTCCTCTGTATTAATTGCGATAATGTAATTGCATTGATAGGAGGAAGGTAAGAGATAACTAAATATTTTTAAATGATTTGCAGACTATTTGTAGGAAGTACCACACTGGACTTAAGTGGAGGTCTATATGTATATGCCTTTGATAAATTTAGTGGAATTTTATTTTAAATCACCAGCACGTTTACATGGTGCTGAGAGATGGGCTCTGCCAAACTTTTTTTTTTAATGGAAAAATGATCCTAGTTTATATTAGAAATATGCAACTAAGTATACAACAGATAGCTAACTTAGTCAGACCTAATTTAATTTTTGTTTTAGATCTATAGCTTTAATTTCTTATCTTTTTAAGGTTAGCAGATAAGTTGACTTTTATGTAGGTTATTTTATTCAAAACACTGCTGCTTAAAATGTTAATAACTTTGGAGATGCAAGAGCCAAAAATAAATTCTTTGATCAGCAATGTCTCTTCCTCATTCCCTCACTAAGCTGTCAATTTGGAGTCCTCTGGTGGAGTCTGTGACAAAATTGAAGCAGCGTTTTTTTTATTAGCATTTTTAAATATTTTCAAAAACTGGAGCAAAAATGACAGTGGTAGATTACTTCTTAGGTCATCCTTTTAATTGAAGTAACCAACTAAACATGCATACCAGTCCCAAAATTAGATATCTCATGTTCAGCTGAACACAAATGTAGGTAACTTAATATGCAGTTCTGATGTATTCAGAGTCAGATCATGAATAATATTTGACTACTTGCTAATCAGACAGAAATGACTCTGAACACTGGTTTTGACAGTGTTTTGTCACTCTGCCAGTAGGGGAAAGAAAGGCAAGACAGCTTTCCAAAACACTAGATGTAATACTGTATCTCTGATACAGCATTCATGGTGTTTGCTCAGTTAACATAAAATCCATTCTGTTCATGTGCTTTTGTCACCGAGTGGGAACAGAGATGCGGTTCTGTCTTGATGACATGTTCATTCTCTCTGTAAGTAGAGAGTAGCAAATGTCATAGCATGCTTTTGAGCACTGTACCATACTCATAGTTTTAGAACAACCATAAAATCAGCCTAAATTTTATAGTCTGTATAAATTGAAAAGAATATATCTTGTGTTGTTTAGAAATGGCTTTAATTCACTATATGTCCACGGTATGAACTCTTTGCATTTTAATATTCTGTACTAAACAGTGTCCTCCTTGTTTTTTGCCCTTTGAAGGCCCTTTACTTAAGTCAGTAGGAGCTTATCGCAGGGAGTACACAATAGTTGGGGGGAAAAGAAGTCTGTTACAAGAGAATAAGAAATCCCGGCCTTCCTGAAATTAGTGGCAAAGAATCATTAGACCTGTGGGAGAGAAGGTGCAGAGATCTGTGTATCCACAGGGCTCCAGGTGGTTGTGTGCATCAACTTCCCAACACCACGTTGTAGCATCAGGTTCTAATGCCGGCACAACGCTCCTTCGGTATTGTGCTAGCTCCAAAAAGTTCATGCGCTGCTGTTCACCTCGCAACACATACAATATTTGGTTTGAACACCAGTATTTGACGTTTACGTGACTGGCTTGTTAGAAGTAGTCAGCCTAATAGTCAGTTATACTATGTTAGAAATGATCTTTTCTCTAAGGGAAAAAATAGGTGCCAGAGTCTCTAAATACCAACTTTCACTAATGGAATTTCAAAAAAATGGAAGTCTAGCTGTCTGAACGTCTTGGGTTTCATGGTAGTAGCCATCTGAGGTGCAAGAAGACTTGGCTTTTGCTGCTAAAGTATTGCCTGTACCTTGTGTATCTACAAGGCAAAAATCTGAAATTAAGAGCTGTGTTTGGCAAAGCTCCTGAGCTTGAGCCTTTAAAGATGAAGAACTGTTAGGAATTATTGTCACAAAATGAATTTAGGAAATTGAACTGTGATTTGCTTCTTAAAAGTACAAAGGCACTGACTTTATGTTGCCAAGAAACTGACTCTTACAGTCAGTTCATGACTGGAATGGCAATATTGTCTGTTAGTTTTGTTTTGTTGGGATAATGGTACTATAAATACTACATTAACCACATAGTACATACAAGGGTGTAAATGCATATTTTTCTCTGCAGAGAAGCCTGAACTCTTAATAAAAAGGAGTAAAAAACAGAAGAAATGACAGAAAATCCAAGAGTTTTCTAAATTTGTTCATTTGAGGGTACTATTGAATATGGAACTATCAGCTGGCACTGACAACGAGAGACTTAGTAAAGGACTTTAAAACTATTTCTTTTCAGCAATCGTATGCACTTGAATGTGAAAACTCAACAGTAGATTTTACAGTAATATTACACTGTTTGTCTTTCAGTGTTCAGGAATGGTTATATTCTTGTCAATTAGCCATTCTACTGTATATGCCTCAAACTGCGTTTTTTAGAAAGGGAGGTAGTTGCAAAATTTTGAAGGCTTCTGTGTGAAGGCTTCCATTTTTGAGAGCAACTAACACTTCTAAATCTTATATTTTTAATTATTTACTCTTTTAAAGGTAAGATAATGTATTTTAAGTGGAGGCAATGTTTCTTATTATGAATCTTAGTTGTTTTATATGAATTTTTTATTTGCACAGCTTCCCATTTTTAAACAGTACAAATAGTTGAAGACAATCTCAATTTTATCTGTATTTTTTTTAAAGCTAAACTGAAAATAAATCAAATTTTTTTTTTGTAATATTGTGAAACAGGTCTGTTTGAACGGGTCTGATTGCAAGACAAAAGCAAAGTGCTTTCCATTGATCATTTCAGCAAGGGTAACAGTCTCCCACTTTCCTTTTCTTCCTGCTCTTTTATTCTGAAGCACGGTAGCAGCAAAAAAAAAAATATTCAGAAAGCTGCAACTGGAAGCAGGAATTGTTCTGCGGAGACCCAAACCTACAGACCTCAATTGTGCAAAGAAACGTGTGTAACTAGTAGGAGAACAGTCAGCTTGCTGTGGTCCGAATGGAGCTCTGTCACAAATAGCACTCAAGGTGAAGTGGACTGGGTCATTTAACTTCCCCTTAGCTGCACATGGAAAGCTGTTACGCCTTACAGTGTGTTACTGGAGGATTTCGAAAGGAGTTTTATCTGCCACTGGATAAGGAGTGTACCGCATCCTCTACATCAGGGTTTTTCTTCCATCAGTAGAAAGTATCTTGTTGACTTCTACAGGCAACAGATCAGGTCCTTAAAATGCTGATCCTCCTGATTTTTGAGCTGAGCGCTCAAAGTATTTGCTCACTTCCAGTTTGCAGTGGGCTGAATGCTTGCAGAGCACAGAAAAGTCTGTGGGTGAAGTATGCCAGCGTCTCTGTGGCAAAACGTGAAGAGGCAGCAGCTCACGCTGATCCCCTTTGCAGCACAGCTGTGCTCTGCAGGAACAGTCAGAAATACTTTCTTTCTGTGTCTTTTACTGCCTTCTGGTCTCAGACTGTATTTCTACCAGTGAGGTAAGACAGAAGTTTCCGCTGAGGAAACTGAGAGGGCAGGCACCAAACAGCAAGGTTCAAGCACAGATTTCCCTTCCCCACCCCTCCTAAGCAAAGTGCTCTAAACAGCTTCTCTGTTAACTCCCCGCAGCAGCAGGTGAAACGGTAAGGTCTCCTCTGGCACCATCAGCATGCCTTGCTCCTTTCGCGGTTCTTCCTTGTTTCACAAACCTTTGCAGCAGCAGCAGGTGACTGAGCAGTCCTCCTTACTCAGCAGCAGTTCCTCATCTCGTCACCCCCATGCCGTGAGAGTGGAGACTGCTTGTTGAGTGCAGCTCCTCCTGCTCTCACAGGTAGCTATCAGCAATGGCTTCCAAAGCCTGCATGGAGGCTACCACTGAGGCAACATTGATGGCATCTTCTCTTTGTCAAAGAGCAGATCATTCTTTGGGACCCATCCAAAGTCCTCTGGAGCTGGTAGATGGGCTTTCCTTGTATTTAGCTGCGTTTGCATCAGACTCCCCCTAATTATTATTTAACAGCGGGTTCCTTTCGTAGCTAATTGAAAGTGGGTCCTCATGTGGAAAAACTGAAAATAGATCAAAATCATTGTAGTTTTCTATTTTTTTTCCTCATTCTTTGTCAATGGTTGGAATTCTTGTAATTGCCAGAGTAGTTACACTTTAAGGAAGTCAGTCGCATACATCTCTTCCAGAATTAATAAGTTAATGTAAGATGATAAATTACTATGAACATATACAGCTGCATGTGAGGAAGAACGTGCAGTGTGTGTAACATAGGTTGTGTGCCAGTCATACTTCCCCTGGGGTCATGGGGTTTTCACAGTGTGGTTAATCACTGACAGTATCTTGTAAAGTTTACTCATTTCTTCAGATTCCTTCATTTGCTTATAGACATCAGACTGCTTCAGGAAAACCCCTTCTGTTTTATTCTTTCTCTTTGAATAAATTTTTCCGTTGTAAGAACAGTGATTACCACTCTATATAGTATTAGCATTAACCCCAAAATTAATAAAATGGGTGGTGAGATATCCTCAAAGCACGAAAATGCGTATCCTCCTGTTTTCAAGGTCAAAGTTTTGCTCACAGTGTCATGAAACTGAATGAGACGTCCCTGTTTATTGGCTTTTTTTTTTTCCCTTTTGTACATATTAGGTTTGGAAACGTAGGCCTCTGTTCCTAATCATATGTATGTTAGAGAAACTAGGCTTAAAGTATATTCATGACATGCAAGTATTAATGTTATTGCTACAGAACATGTATGATTTTGCTTACATCAGTTTTGGATAATGTGGCTCTTCTAAAATATTTTCAGTGTAGCTCTGAATTGGAGCCTAAAATCAAATACAGCTTCTCAGTGTTGTTAGGAAATACTCTGGGTAATGAATTTTTTAATGCATATTTTCCATCAATCTTACAGGACTGACAGCAAAAAAAATGATGCTTTGATAGGCTTCTGTGCATAATTGTTCCTGCAATTGATCTTTGTTGATTTTGCATGTTGTGACTGATGGCTAATTAAATAACTGGGATCAGTGCTTCTTTTCAATTTTCTCTTCTACAGTGTGACAAAATCAAACAAGAACGAGATGAGGCTGTCAAAAAACTGGAGGAGTTTCAGAAAAGTAAGTTGTTATGTCAGTGGGAATGTTTTGGCATAGAGAGTTATGAACGTAGCTCTGAGTACCGTGAGGCAGGATTGTTGCGATTCAGGTTCAGTTGCCGTCTCTCTTTCAAAGCCCCACACTAAGGAGTTAGTCTCATAAGACTTTGGCTCTTATCAGACTAACTGCTGTCACAGCATTCAAAAACCCTGAAACAGGTAACCATCCTTAAGGTGCAAGTGATGAAAACATAGTGGTACAAACGCTGCTCTATTTCACCAGAATACTGCAAGTGACTTTTGGAATAACATCTGCTTGAACTGAGTTGGATTTGACCCTGTTGCTGAAATTACTGCTGCTGCTATTAATAATTTTTTTTTCCAGGAAGAAGGAGTAAAATTACTGTAAGCATAGAGGCAGCATTAAAGATTTCTAGCATGAACTGATGTCTCTTGATAACTTTTACAGCAAGTTCTATTTTGTCCAGGCTGTGAGAGTGTCAATATTCAGTTTTGCACTTTTATGGTAATGGTTCTATTGATACTGTACGGTGTCTGGAAGCAACAAAGCGCATCTAATGGGAGTGGAAGTATCCTAGTGGAATAGCTCCTTAGAAGAGACAGTTACAATAGGGTTGTGGTCTGTTATGTCTGCTTTGTGCCAGTACGGTGAACTACAGGACAAAGCATTAGAAATGTGGATGAAGTTAATGCAGGATAAGGAAGCCACACAGTCTATACTTTTGTGTGATTATGTTAGTAGAGGAATTTTCTGACTTCTATTTTATAATTGCTTGTATGATATAATTATAGGAAATGATCGCCGTTGATTTTGGATTTTCTACAGTCTTAAATGATCATAGAGAATATTCTTGCCTCATAGAATAGTTTTCTAAGAAGTCTAATTCCTGTGGAAAAAATTGCAGCCTGTTTTGTTTTTGTTATGATACAAGGAATACCAGAGTGTGGCAGAAAATGTCAAGTAGTTAAGACTTAAAATTTGAAGTTATATTTGAAGTTGTAAAATTTTATAGGTTTCTTTTATCTTCCTTTCACATTTTTAAAGGACATACCTTGTAAACATAGTGATAAAATGCCAGGAATATTAGGATTTTAAGGCAATAATAGAGCCCATTATTTAAACGACAATATAAAAGGCAATTATATTGATGAAGAGCTACATCGGCTTTGTGTCTGTGAATAAACTTGGCCTGTACTCAGCTTCTATTTGTTCTCCTGGCATAAACACATATTGTGTGTGATTCCAGTTTAATGGGGCCCCGTTTGTATGCCAAGCAGCTGCATTTTAGGCCCTATTGCGTGATTTCATAGCTCTCTGAAAATTGGTTCTATTGAGCACAGGAGATAGAAGGTGGTGGTGGGGGGGAAAGCTTCAACACACAATCATTTCTTTTCAATTGGAGCCAGCAAGGTTGATGACAACATGACCATTGTGTTATAATGATAAGACCACTAAGGATCTGTACCTCTCATCAAGGCTTTCACACAACAGCAGATACAATTTAATTCACTGCTCTGTCAGCAGTGCTGATACCATTATGCCGTCTGTCTCCACAGTTATAATCACTGTCCTCCGAGAAATGCAGTTGAAATGATCTTGAGCAGTCAAAGAAACTCTCAATTAAGGCTGCCACTTCCAATGTGTCAGATTGTGTCTTATGCACTTGGTACAATTTTCACTTCCAATCCTGTTTATTTACAATGTCTACCAGTAATTATGCTTAACATGTCATTTAGTGAGGGTGCCCCTGCCAAGGAGATTGTTGGGTGCTGCCGTACCATTGAGTGGGAGTTTCTCGCAGTCAATGCCATCAGCGGCTTTTAGTCCCTGATGGGATGCGGTAGTAATGTTGATAATGCAAGTATCGTGCTCATCAAGTCATAATTAGATGCCACTCAAATGTGCCACTTGTAATAACAGTGTTGATTCATGTTTTCTCGGTGACTGCAACTACTAATTAGTTAAGTGGTTTTTGGTTGGCCTGCATTTGCTGTGGATTATTATTACCCCTGAAAAAAACTGTCAAGGTTAGAGATGTTTCAGGCCACTTAGTGCCGCTTTATGAATTTTAATATTGACATAATAAGAACTTTGGACAGACTTAGGAAATAATATATTTTTGTATTTAATTTGGAAAGATTTTTTTTCCCCCTGAGTTAATCATAATTGCAGGTTAATTAAGTTTAAATGAACCAAGAGTAATCTCTAGTTGTGCCATGTGAGCCCAGTCCTTGTTTCCTAACTTCAGCTAGCTTTGCTTGAGGACATTAGATCCCTGTCTGTAAGATGGGAGCAGCCCTGCATCTCCACTGCTCCCTCATCCTGACGAATGCATTTCATTGCTCCAAATTTCTGAGGCTAGGTAGAGCAGAAATGGAAGAGATATCTTCTATATGAACAGGTTTTACCCGAAGCTCTTCCTCTCTTAAATTAAATATAGTAGCTGGTGTGACATGCTTGGAGCAGAGAACTTTCCCAAAGCCAGAAAAAGTGGCAATAGTGCAACCACTCCTCTTTGGTTGTCTTTTTACTATTGGAAGACCTCTTGTACCGATGGTCTGTGGTCCAAGAGGTGGTGGTGGTGGTTGTTGGTTTTTTTCTTCTAGAGGGGAGTTAGCAGACAGAACTTCAGAGAAGCTCTGATTTTTTTTTTTTTTTTTTTTGAACCACAGGGCCTCACATCAGGCAATCTGAAAACTGCTCTTGTTTGTAGATCTTGTCACTCACATGCAGCTACTGATTTGACAGCGAACTCCAAAGTATTGATGATTTCCTGTGCTACTATCTACTGTAGCATCAGTAAAACTGCAGTCATGAATTAATAGTAAAACTTCTTAGCTGCCTGCATGTTCCTATCCTAAAATCCTGTTTTGAGGCTGTTAAGATGATCTCTGGATAACAAACAGGGTTTAAGTATCTTTTTTTCAAATTTTAGGAAATGTTAAAATGCATCATTCTTTATTCACAGTAGGGAAAAAAATTCTTGGAGGGCAGGAGAGACTTTCTATCATTAGTATGATATCGTTAGTTTTTAAAGTTAATCTTCATGAAAATTAAAGGAGATAATAGGAAAAAGTCCTCCTTATTTAGGCTACCAGCCTTGTCCCTGTTGCAAAGTATTGTTAAGCTGTGCATAGTCTTTTTTGCACATTAAAATCTTGACACTGTATTGAAAAGGAATCTGTGCCATGAAATGATTTGCAGAATTTGAGTCCAAGCTACTGCTTGGGTGACAGTGCCAGAAGGCAAGGAGGAATTTGCATCAGTGATCGAGGTGCTAGCTTGAGAAATGAGAAATGCTGTTCAGTTTCTTGCTCTGCCTCAGATCCCCTGTGTGACATGGAGCTTGTCACTTAAAAGAAGACTTTCAGCAGTCTGTACACAGGTGCTTAACTGTTGTTGAAAGTTGAGGGGGGTTACAAGCCAAAATGTTATCTGTGCTTTTAAAACCTCTCTAAGTCCTGTTACCTCCTATGGAACAAATCTTACTTTGTTACATACATTTTTGGTCACTCTAGACATAGTGAAGTATTCGTTATGGTAATAGGGACCCTGTAGGATAGATGCATCTCTTGCATTTCCAACAGTGATGTCAAATGCAGTAGCACAGATGTGTAACCCCGATGCAGTCAGGCAGCTAGCTCTTCGCTCTGGTCTCACGGAAGATTGTGTGTGCATGCATGCACATACATCCTGGTGTCTGAATCTTTGTGTAGGACTGTAAAGGCACAGTGTGAGGCTGTGATGTTTATTTTAGTATACACGCAAGTGCAGAAAGAAATAATTAAAACACTGAAGCCATATGATAATACAGAGTTTAGGTTGTTCAGCTGAAGCCATCAAAAGTCAGGAAGTACCAGCAGTGCTGAGGTCCATCAGCAGTGAATCCATCAGGCTGTATCCCAGCTGGCTACAGCCAGCTTCAAAGCTGATGGAGTAGAAGGAGAAGCGATGGTGCAGTGTAGTGATTTGACCTCTTTGGAGCATTTGCTGTAGCAGGCACTGCAAATGTGGAGGCTTCAGTCCTTTAACTCTCTTCTCCATTTCCAAGTAAACTTCCTACAGGCCTGTGCTATATGTCCATCCTGTAGTTTTTCTGGTACACTGCATTTAGCAAGTGTGACGGTATTTAAACTACCGTTTAAACCTGAAGGCTGGAACGTGAAAATAATCCCTTGCTAACACATCTGAATTGCTTGAAAAGATGCAAATATTCATTATTCAAAACAGTTCTCATCCATAAAGGTTATAAAAGTAGGAACTTCTCCGAGTTTGAAATGCTTACATAAGAAATTTAGCAGAAAAAGATGTAATATTTCTGATCATGGGATGCATGTGTCAAGTGCAGGAAAACGCTGACTAATTTTTAAACCCTCTCCTAGTTTCTCATATGGTTATTGAGGAAGTAAACTGTATTCAGAACCATCTTGAAATTGAGAAGACGTGCCGTGAAAGTGCTGAGGCTTTGGCTTCTAAGGTGAGGAGAATTATGGTTATTCTGTTTCATCTGATTTCTTTTCTTTCATCTTGAGATTGCAAAATTGAGACATGCATGTCCCTTACATTGTTTTTGCATACTTTTGCAGATCCGTGAAATTGTTTTGAGGTGCCTAAACTGTAAGCCATATGCAAGACTTAAAATTGCAATTCTGGCTGTTGATGAAAGAAATACCCATTTGAATTTAGTTTGTTTTTTTTGGAACAGTAAGTCAAGGACCGACTTCTTGGTATCTAGTTTTTATGTGCATGCAGGTTAAATGGAAAACAAGTTTTAGAACTATCCCATGTGAGATATAAAACAATAATGAGCATTTCAGCGTCTAAATCAAATGGAAAAAGTCAACCACTGCATTACATTTCAGGTGATTGTTTATGAAAGCAAAGCGAGGGCAGGGGAAAGGTGACCTCCACTGCTCTGTTGATTGCGTCTAGTCTGATGAATTTAGCAAGCGTGTAATTTTCTATATTCCATCTCATCAGAAGTGCATTATTATTAAAGAATGTTTTTATCTCTGTGTTATATATTTTTGGCTGTGTAAAATGCATCTGAACCACTTCATCAGAAAATGGACTACAGCAATTTTGAACCAAATTTCATTAGCAAGGCTGACTGCCTTTTTTTTCCTCTCCCCACCCCCTGCCCAAAGTACATCTTTAGATATGGTAAAAATCACACCAGCAAGAAATCACTTTAATTTAGATGCATTAGCAATGTACTTTCTGGAGGTATTTACTTAATTGTTTGCATAATGACACTATATTAGAATTCATAAGATAGACAATCAGCATATAAGTAAGAAAATGAATGTATTTAACTTTTCCTTCTCTGCTCTTTTCCTGTAATGCACGTACAGGGGTAGTTGAAAGACTAGCCCTGTCCCTTGGGGCTGCTTTGCCAAAGCTAACTTGTTTGTTGGTGTGTGCTGACTAAACCATGTAGGGTTCGCCACACCACCCTTCCCGCTTGTGCAGTCTCATTCTTTGGGAATGAGATGTTAAAGAAACATTTTACTTGAGTAAACCTTCCATAGTTAAGGGGCTGAAGAAAGGGGGATCAAAGATGATTTGCTTGGGTGAAGAAATCAGGATCAGTCTAACTGGACAGAATGTGTTTTATTTCAAGGCAGAAATTGGACCTCTGCACCCTGAACTGGATGCGCTGTGTGTCATCAGTGGAAAACTAAGCCTCATTCTTAGAGCAGGGAGTGCTTGGCTTGTGGGTGGACCATGACCCCATATTTATCTGAGCACCCCTGAGACTGTGGTGAGCTTGCTGAGAGCCACTGGCGTGGGGTGTCTAGATGCAGAACAGCGAAAGAAATGGTGAGAGGGAAACATTGGCAACAATCCCCATTGTTAAATTTATCTTGCCAGCAGTAACCACCTTGGTCAAGATGGAGTTATATATAAATATACATATGCATGCATACACATATACGTATATACACACACACACACATATATGTGTATGTATGTATTTTATATATATATACACACACACACACAAATATATATATATATATATATATATATATATATATATGTATATAACCAAACCTCTTCTGTGTCATTCACCATCCAGGCATGCACTTAAGCATCTAGAACAACTGCCCAGAGTGATTTCTAGCTTGTGGTTTGGCCCATAAAGAATTTGTTTGTGATAGGGCTTTCGTTTTACATATGTTGATTCTACAGTAATAATTTCGGATAACTAAGAATAATTCAAAAGGATTATAAGGTAGTTCTGTCATGACTGGGTGTATAGTAGTTGTGATATTTGTTACTTGTAGTTTATAAGTAGAATAAGGTTGTAGGAAGAGATAGGACCAACTGATACGGCTGGCAAAACCAGACAAGCTTTCAGGCATGCAAGCCCTTCAGGTCATTCAGTTGGGGCTCTTGTTAGTAGCAGTACATGCTTAAGGGTCAGGAGCTGAAGCAGCTATTGCAAAGAATGGATAGCATTAAGTAAGCTTGATAGTTGAGTTGATGTGAACTTACACAGGGTATTTATTAGTCAGAAGTACCAGAGAGGACTCTGTCTTCCCTGGTGGAGAAAAGGGCATGAGTGAAGCAGCATGTTGAATTCAAGCCTCCTCAGAGGAGAAAGAGGACAAGCTTCCTGTCTTCAAACCATTTTAGTGTAAAATGGAGTGTTTAAATTAATGTCATTTTTGTTTATCTTGCTTCTTTGTTTGATTGATCTTTTAATGACAGGAGGAAAAAAATCCATTTGATTTTTTTTTCTTGCACAGCTCCTTAAAGACAGACTAACTAGCTTATTACTGTTTGCACTTCTGCACTTGCAGCTGAACAAAGAAAATAAGACCTTGAAAAGAATTAGTATGCTTTATATGGCGAAACTGGGCCCAGAAATTATCACTGAAGAGATTAACATTGATGAGGAAGATTCATCCACAGATACAGAAGCTAGCTCTGGATCATGCAACTCTGTGCATTGTCAACGTCAAATAAAAGGTGAGAATTGTTGCTGAGCCTACCGTGCCAGACAGGGCAAAAATTGTCTAAAGAATGACCATGTTCTTTTGGGCCAGAAATGTGTCTTGCTCAGGATTATACCTCTGACAGTGGTCAGCAGAGGATTTCCAGGAAAGACTGTAAGGACATGGCAGGCCTATCGTGATATTGTATAATGTGTGTGCAACAAGAGAATAGTATCTACACAGCCAAGAGTTCAATGTTACTGAATTGGTTTAAAAAAAAAATTCCTCAGATCCTTAACACAGTAAAAGTTCATTTGTAGTTAAGCAGAAGGACAAGGTCACCTTGGTATTGCTTCAGCTGCTATTTATATGACTTTATTTCAAAGCCTTGGAAGACAGGACTCTCCATTTATACTTCCTTTGTGTACTTTTGTATACACAAGCTTCATTCATATTCTAGAGTTATTACTGAACAAGCAAATTAAGAACGGACTGCTATCAGGGAAAACAGCAAAGCCTGGGAACATATAATTACATTGATATCAGAAATCTGTACTTTATTAAGAAATTTCTGGTACCTTTTTGAAAGGCAGTTTATGTTTCATTACAAAAACTGCCTTCCCTTCTAGCCTAACTCTGTGATGAAGTCATCCTGATCTTGTGTATGTTACTATATCATAGCATCCAACAAAAGGGAATGTCTGTGTTCATCATTTTTTAGAAATGGAGAGAGCACATAGTGGTTCAGTTTTTTTAAAAGAATTTTCAGCGGTTTTCTGATAATAATTGCAATTGCAAATGATTTATAGATACAATTGTCTTAAACTGTAAACCTGACCTTGTTAATTATTGTCTACTTGAGTGTTGTGCCCTCAATGAAGTGGTGCAAAGTATCACTGAGAAAAAAGCATGAGTGTTTTAAAAACTCAAAAAAAAAAAAAAACCTTACAGAATGTCACAGCACCCTTCTAAAGTAAGCAGCTTTCCACTGTGTAGGCATAGGAAAAGAGATGAGGGAGAATAGTGAGAGCCACACTATGCAACTCGTCTGAATCAGAAATAAAATCATGGAGTCTTCTATTGGAGAAAAATGTCAAGGACATTGTTAGAGAGGGCAAAGATTCTGGCTGAAGATCGGGGGAGAATGTATTTAGGAGGACAGCAGAGACAAAGGAGAGAAGATTTCAAGAAAGGCCCTGATGTGTGTATTTCCTCTCCTGCTGAGGAATTCATTGGGGAACAAAAAGTATGTTGTAAAGGAGTTAGAGCTCTTCTGTCTTTGGCTTTATTATTAAATGTTAATAACCTTACGAGGAGGTGATCCTGCTCCTCTACTCAGCCCTAGTGAGGCCACATCTGGAGTGCTGTGTCCAATTCTGGGCTCCCCAGTACAAGAGAGACATGGCGCTACTGGAGAGAGTCCAGCGGAGGGCTACAAAGATGATGAGGGGACTGGAGCACCTCTCCTCTGAAGAGAGGCTGTGAGAGCTGGGCCTGTTCAGTCTGGAGAAGAGAAGACTGAGAGGTGATCTGATCAACGTGTACAAGTATCTGAAGGGGTGTGTCAAGAGGATGAGGCCAGCCTCTTCTCCGTGGTGCCCAGCAACAGGACAAGAGGCAATGGGCAGAAACTGAACCACAGGAAGTTCCATCTGAACCTGAGAAAAAACTTCTTCACTGTGAGGGTGACAGAGCATTGGAACAGGTTGCCCAGAGAGGTGGTGGAGTCTCCTTCCCTGTAGATATTCAAAACCCGTCTGGATGTGATCCTGGGCAATGCGCTCTAGGTGACCCTGCTTGAGCAGGGAGGTTGGACTAGATGATCTCCAGAGGTCCCTTCCAACCTAAACGATTCTGTGATTCTTACATTTGCAAGTGCTGACTATTTTAAAAGCATGGGCATCCCATTTGCCATAGAAGAAGATCTGCTACCCGTGTACCTGGAGGAAGTGTGTGCATGTATGGTAACAAAGATCTGGCAATTTGTTCTAAAAGGCGTCATGGAGGCTCTGTCCCAAGCCTCAGCTAAGCTGCATGCCATTTGTCTTCAGGGAACAATCTGAGAGTACATCAGGGATTGCCTCCTAAATGAAAGATCATATGTAACAAAAGAGGGTGTGTGGAGTTGCCCAACGTGAAATCTGCTCTTCTATGCAGGCCTATGCTTCCAAGAGTTGTGTTTTGTGGTGGGTATCTCAAACCTCCTTTAGCCTTCTCACCATTCAGCAAAATATTGGATGTTTCTTGTGCAAAGATTCTTTCCCTTTCCACCACTTCTGTGGAATGATATATAAATAAAGGAAGAATTTTTATTTGGTTGGTTTTTTTTTTTCCTCCTCTCTCCTTTTGAACGTAACAAGAACTGAAAACTCAGCTGTGCTGAGTGCATAACCTGTAGCTGAAAAGAAACTTTTCTTATAGAAGCTTGCAAAGATTTAGGTACATGGCTATGCTTCCTTCTGTGCGTGTTTAGGTCCATCTATCTATCTATCCAGGTCCCATAAATTTCAGTGAGAGAATTTTCCATTAGCTCCACCAGAAAACACATCCATAAAACAAAAAAACTTGGCTTATTGGTCATCTGGGAAAGCAAGTCTTTCTCTTTACTTTAGAATATATCTGCCATTAATTGGGAGGAAAATAAATCTGATGCTCTTGAACAGAGGGGAGGGGAGGAGAAGGAGAAGGAAAAAGTCAACGATGCTGAAGGTCTGAAATGAAACAAAATGGCATCCTGTATGTGATCATCATCTGCAACTGATTAGGAACAATTTTTTTAAGTCGTGGTTGGTATTCGAAGAACAGCAGTGATACAAAATTCTGGAAGCAGGTGGGGAGTGAGAGCACTTACTGAAAACTAATATATATCAGTAAATTTATATTTTTGTGGTGTTTCTATGTTAACCTAAACCTTGATGTATTATGTATGCAAACTGATCTGCTGTTAAGAAGTGATTATAATCAAATGTTTTATTCCATTGTGAATTTAATTTATTTCATATTTTGATAATTAAGGAACAAAAATTCTGAGGGGAAAATTACAAGCATTAGCTCTTCCATCAGTAAAGGTTATATTCTGCCTGTGTTCACATAATGTTACAAAGGCTATAAATTGGCAGGTGTTCAGGACAATTTCTTCAGTGAAAACCTCCCAAGTATTAACTGCCTGTTGTTTTGTTTATTTCCCTTGTGACAAGAACTCATGATCCAAAAAGAACTGAAATGCATTAATTTGTGTTAAAGGATGCCTATTTAAAAACTGCTTTCCGCTGCCTCAGTGCTAGTCTAGTACACTAGCGTGTAACGTGACTATCTCCTGACGAAGACCGAGGACGCTCTGTGGTGGCGGGGTTGACCCCATTATAGGAGGAAATGAATCATTCAGAATGCAAATAAAGGCAGCAGTACTGGATAAGGAAGCTTACCTCAATAAAGTAAATCTGAAACTGTAGCCCAATTATAGATCTGTTACTCGACACCTATGTTCCTAAATTATTGAGGATGTACCTTGAATACAGCTGATACTTTATCTGCAGTTAGGGTGTTTTGTACTCGATTGTACTTGCATGCTTATATTTCTTTTATTGCTTTCTTCTGAGAATGAAATAAAAATATGTCATTTCCTTCCTCAAAATGTAGAGCTGCGAGATCAAATTATAGCTGCTCATGAGGAAAAGAAGACCTTAGCCATTGAACTGGAAAATCTGAGGTGCAAACTTGTAGAAGTAATTGAAGAAGTATGTATTGTACCATGGAAGGCGAGACTACATTAGTGTGTAGTCGGTACTTTTTGTTTCTAATTTTGTGGAAAACGCTCAGTTGTGAAGTTAATTGAATACTCTCTAATCGGAAGTCTTGCCAGCTTGTCCATGTGACGGACCACTTAGAGCATACACCTAGAAGGGCCTTTTAAGTCAGAGTCCAATCTGCTGCTGTCTCTGGCACATGCCTCTTCCTGATCCGTTCTAGTGCCCATATTTTTACATTTTCCTGGTTTTATTTTTTGTTTGTTTGTTTGTTGTTGTCTGCTTTTCCTCAAGTCTGCGGGTGTGCAAGAAATACTTTGGAGAATGCCTGGTTTAATTACTGGTGCTACTTCATTGAGCATATCCTTGTTTTTAGCCATTGGCAATGCTCTGTCATGGTAATTAGACCAGCAAATTGGCTTTT